ATATTTCCAGATTTTGTTAAGTAGAATTGTTATTTTGTTTTGAGAATTTAAAGCAATGAATATCAAACAATTGGGAATACGTACAATTTCTGACTATTTTGAATGTTTATTCAGTTATTTTTATATGCCATCCTTTTCACTGATATTTTAAAACATGGGGTGACTACTCTAAATAGACAATACCTAAGAACCTTGACTTCTCTATACTGACCATAGCTAAGAACCTTGACTTCTTTATACTGATCATAGCTAAGAACCTTGACTTCTGTATACTGACCATATTTAAGAACCCTTACTTCTCTATAATGACTATATCTAAGAACCTTGTCTATCCTATATTGACCATACCTGAGAACTTAACTTCTCTTTACTGACCTATCTAAGAACCTTTACTTTTGTATACTGAACATATTTAAGAACCTTGACTACTCTATACTAACCATATCTAAGAACCTTGTCTACTCTATACTGACCATATCTAAGAATCTTCACTTCTTTAAACAGACCATATCTATGAACCTTGACTTCTCTATACTGACGATATTTAATAACCTTTACTTTTCTATAATGACTATATCTAAGAACCTTGTCTATCCTATATTGACCATACCTGAGAACCTTAACTTCTCTTTACTGACCTATCTAAGAACCTCTACTTTTGTATACTGAACATATTTAAGAACCTTGACTTCTCTATACTGACCATATCTAAGAACCTTCACTTCTCTAAACAGACCATATCTAAGAACCTTGACTTCTCTAAACAGACCATATCTAAGAACCTTGACTTCTCTATACTGACCATAGCTAAGAACCTTGACTTCTCTATATCGACCTTATCTTAGAACCTTGACTTCTCTATATCGACCTTATCTTAGAACCTTGACTTCTCTATATTGACCACATCTAAGAACCATGGCTTCTCTATATCAACCATATCTAAGAACCTTGTGTTCTCTAAACTGACCATATCTAAGAACCTTGACTTCTCTATATCGACCTTATCTAAGAACCTTGACTTTTGTATACTGAACATATCTAAGAACCTTGACTTCTCTATACTAACAATATCTAAGAACCTTGACTTCTCTAAACAGACCATATCTAAGAACCTTGACTTCTCTATACTGACCATATCTAAGAACCTTGACTTCTCTAAACAGACCATATCTAAGAACCTTGACTTCTCTATACTGACCATAGCTAAGAACCTTGACTTCTCTATATCGACCTTATCTTAGAACCTTGACTTCTCTATATTGACCACATCTAAGAACCATGGCTTCTCTATATCGACCATATCTAAGAACCTTGTGTTCTCTAAACTGACCATATCTAAGAACCTTGACTTCTCTATATCGACCTTATCTAAGAACCTTGACTTTTGTATACTGAACATATTTAAGAACCTTGACTTCTCTATACTAAACATATCTAAGAACCTTGACTTCTCTATACTAACAATATCTAAGAACCTTGTGTTCTCTAAACAGACCATATCTAAGAACCTTGACTTCTCTATACTGACCATATCTAAGAACCTTGACTTCTCTATACTGACTATATCTAAGAACCTTGTCTATCCTATATTGACCATACCTAAGAACCTTGTCCACACTATACTGAAAATCGTCTTCTCTTTATTGGCATTATCTTAAAATTTTGTATTCTTTTTACTTGGATTATATAAAAAAACAAGAGGCCTAAGGGCCACATTGCCCACCTTAGCCATCTTTTCAAATTTAAAACAGATTTTTTATTTCTCCTAAGATGAAAAAGTTTATTACTTCATATTTTTGCATCATAAAAAGTTAATTAACCAAAGTGTGGGGATGCTTCAATTCCAATTTGACTAATTATGTTCTTTATACATTCACTTATTATACTGTATTTCCTTTTATGAGCCAAAGATTAGTTCATAAATTACCCCATATTTTTTTGCGTTCAGTTTGACAAGTGCAATCATTTACTAAGCTCTTTTCAGTGAATAAGAAAAATGCATGACTGTGCTTAAAACTTTATTAAAAAACAAGAAAGTTATGCAAATCTTCAGTAATTATCTGCAGGTAACAATATGATATATTTATCTTGAAACTTACTTTCACGTACATATACAAGAAGCAAGTTTAAAAAAAAAATGCATTAATTAAACCAGTATATGTATAATTACATTTAAAACATAACGATTGCAAATGACAATAAATCTTAATGAAGAGTAACAGTACTAACACTATATATAACATGAAACAAAATTATTTGAAATGCAGTCAAAAGATGCATTTATGTCTTCAATATATCGGGCAATTAAAAGTATAATCACATGGTTTACATACCTTTCCCAAATGAAAGCGAAAACGGGAAAGGTTATGTTTAAGTGATTTGAAAACAGTTCTTCACATTTTACCTATTAATATTCATAGTAATTTATATTTACATAATTGCAATACCCAAACCCCTGATTCAAATAATCTTGTTGAAAATATAAATAATAATCCAGTCATTTAAGAGATCCAGTGGTTTCCACATTCTATTAGGTGACAAACATTATATTTTTGCAAAGATATATCTGGCAAATATTATAATATAACTCATTGGATACATCAAGTGGTTTTTACATTAGTGATGTGGAGTAAAATAAAGTGGAGTCCTAAATAAAAACAGTATTAAACATTGGCTGTGGAGTAATAAACATGGGATAAGAGGCCAATGGGCCACACTGCTCAACTGAGAAGCTTTGACCATTTTGTTCTTTACAAGATTTTCCCCCTTATAATACATATTGTGACCTCACCCTACCCTACCCCGCTGATCATAATTTAGACAATTTGAAATCTACACTACCCCAGAATGCTTCCATATAAGTTGCAGCTTTTCTGGCCCAGTGGTTCTTGAGAAGATTTTTAAAGACATTTCCTATGTAAAACTTTGATTCCCCATCATGGCCCCGCCCTACCCCCAGGGGTCATGATTTGAACAATTTAGAATCTACACTACCCAAGGATGCTTCCATTCAAGTTTCAGCTTTTCTGGCCCAGTGGTTCTTGAGAAGATTTTTTAGTGACCCTACCCTATATGTCTTTTCTTGATTATCTCTCCTAGTGAGGAGATTTGGCCATTCGTTTTAACAATTTAAAGTCCCCTTTACCCAAGGTTGCTTTGTACCAGGGTTGGTCAAAATTGGCCCAGTGGTTATTGAGAAGAAGTAGAAAATGTGAAAAGTTTACAGACGAACAGACAGACAGATAAACGACGGACAACATGTAATCAGAAAAGCTCACTTGAACCTTTGGCTCAGGTGAGCTCAAAAAACAAAAACACACACACAAGTTGGATAAAAATCATATCTAACTATAAAATATGGGGGATCCAATTTGATAGAATTGCTGTTTGAAAATCTTGAACCTGCAGTTCTAAATAAGGTATGAAAACATAAGTTACAACAAAAATATCAGCATCCTCATGTAATCCAAGAAATGAAATTAAGGTGCAAGTTCAACTTTGTGTCATACAGTTCATACATAGGGAAATTAAAAAAAATATAAATTAGCTTCTTGCAACTTTTCATCATTTTATTACCCTGAATTACAAGAAACTTTCTTTACATTATACATAAATACACCAAAACCCTCAACAAGTATGTTGTAATTGTATCACAACATGATGTTATAATGGGGATATACAAAGAGATTTGTAAGACGTGACATTTTTGGGTTTGACACATGGTGCATGAGCTGGAGGCACAACACTTTTATGTAAATAATACATTCTTAGGTGACTTACTCAAAAACTTATCTTCCTTTGAGCCATTTCTAGCAAAATAAAATGAAAATACAAAATACCCGTTCCTTATGCTGCTATAAGCTGTTATTAAGAAAGCAGCACTGGCCCCACAAAAGAACTTTGTGTCGTGACTTGTTAAGCTTTGACTTTCGTAGAGTACAATATCTATTTAAATGAAAATATTTTTCATTGGAAATAAATTGCAAAAGCTTATGAGTCATAAATGAGTACATGAAAAAATGTCCTCCTTCTGGCCACTGTAGTCAATTTCAGCAGAACATCATCTTTTATCAAGTACCCTTTTATTGCAATGCCACAAAAAAAATTTCAAGTGGCTCATGAAATTCTTGTGATTCATATATGAAAGCTGGCTTTTCAACTTCCTCAGTTTAGAGTTGTTCTGTTCCACCATTTGTGTATTAACACCAACCAACAATGGTATATTTCTTGCATGGTAGATTTTGGAGCAGGCTGCAAATGAAGAAATAACTTGATGACCATGTGTCAAAGGAAAAAACATATAATATACTAGTACTTTCTTTTCGTTAGGCCATAACAAATAAATTGCTAGATTCTCATCCAATTTTTTTCAAAAATCGAGAATTAAGATTTATAAACCCTCTACTCACTCATATGAATTTTTTTTTTTAACTTTTATGATTTTCCAAGAGAAATGTATATCCTGAATAAAATACAAACAATTAAAGCATGGCTTTCGGGCAAAATTTGACAAAAAAGGCACTTAAACTTGACAAAAAAAGAATAAAGGAATAATAAGTTATTTGTGTCATTAAGAGTTATCTCTCTTATTAGAGAATCAATGTAAATGTACCTTTAAGAAGAAAAGTTATTGACTTACACTTGTGGTTTCTCCAATGCAAGTTGTCTACAGCAAAAATAGTATTTTGAACAAATAAAGGGTCTCTGTTCAAGAAGTATGCATGCAGATTGCAGGCATTATCATATATCACAACAGAAGGTGCTGTTAATAAAAAAACATAGAATTTTTGGTAATAAATAAGGTATGAGTGAAATATCTTCACTGGAATTGTAAATTGTTATATATACTACAAAAGCTTCAATCACCTATTGCATATGGATTACCCAGTAAATGTTAGGGGGGAAAAAACAATCTTGATTCCAGATTTTTTAATTCTACTTCCTCTGTCTTGCTTTATGCTGGCCAGTAAATCTAAATATGTCAATCTCAATAAATACATTTACACACCTGTTAAAAACCTCGTTCTTATGAAGGTAAATGGAACATTGGGTGATTCGTTGTTCTCCATTATCTGGAATCCATAGCAAATTCCTTTAAAGAGAAAAACGTGAAAATTACAACCCGTGAAATTAATCCCCTATACAGTATATATTAAACATTTATTGACTGAGTTCGAGGGCAACATGCGTTTTGTCGGACCCAAGAATTAAACTGTCTGCCTGAGGCCGTTAGGCCGAAGGCAGACAGTTTGGTTCGAGGGTCCGACAAAACGCATTTTGTCCGAGAACTCTGTCAATAAATGTTTTGTTATACCTTTCATTTCAGTTTATATTTTTTGACATACATGTATTTTGTACTATATTACGTAATGTAACATTAGATCTGTTACTGTTTAAATCAAAGAATGAAAATGAGATTAAGCTCCGCCCATTCTGTGAAGTAAGCGGTCCAACATCTCTCCGAGCGGTCCAACATCTCACTCAGCGGTCCAACATCGATTTTTTTATGCCCGCTCAGCAAAACATTAAAAATGGTAGACTTTTTTCTGTATAGATTTGTATAGGAACAAATTTTTAAAGGTATAACAATGCAAAGTTTTGACCATGGAATTATAATAGAGTTTCAATGGCAGAGATGTGCTTAAATCTGTTTAAAAAAAAGCTTGTTCTGGACTTAAAATGTAAAACAAAAGGTAAGTGAGCTATATTGCTCAATTGAGTAACTTTGGCCATGCTGATCTTCACCAGATTTCCTCCATGTAAAACCTCTTGAGACCCCAATCCTAAAACCTGGGACCATGATTTAGAGAAATTATAATCTACATTGCCCCAGGACACCTCTACAGAAGTTTCATCTTTTCTAAAAATGTTAAGTGACAATCTTTATCACAAAGAAGTGGTTCTGATGAAAAGAAATCAGTATAAAGTAACAGCTTTAATTACAAACTTGTTCTTTGTACATACCATGTTGACAAAAGACAGTGAAAATCCCTGGCAGTAGTGTTGGGTGTCTAGTGGAATCTTTCCTACAGCTTTCAGCATTAAACTTTCCTTTGTCTGCTGTATACCTTCCCCTCTGACGGATCGGTTCAAGCGTTGGGAAAAAGGCAGTCTGAGCGGCATTGTCTAACTCTTCCTCTGTCACAGAATCTTCGGTCTTTGGATTATGAAACTGGTCTGATGTACTTGGATTAGGAAATGTAGCTTTGGATTTGGTAAATACTGTGGAAATTATCTCTTTATACTCGGGAGAAATTTCAAATGACACAGATCTAAGTATTTCAAAAAGTAAAGGAATGTTAATTTGAATACTGTTCAGAAGTTCTGCATCCCTTGATATGTCTTTTGGAGACCCAAAAATCTTAGAAAGGATCTGTTCATTAACTGCATTGTACGGAATAAGAGCACATGCAGGTGATGGACTGGCCAGAAGCTCCAACAGAGGACGATGCTCTGGGGGGCAGCTTTCAACACATCCAATGTTTTCAAAGGTGTTGAGAAGAGGACCTAATGGAGGAAAACTGCTGCTGATGCTTTTCTTCATAGAGGTAAAATCAGCTTCACACAGGGGTGGTACTCCCACACAGTACTGCATTAAACTTTGTCTGTATTTCTTCTCCCTTATTACCACTCTCTCTTTGTGACTAGTATTAAAGAGAAGACACACATACATTTGCCTCATTCAATATTGATATTTTTCTGATGAATAACAAACCATATTCAACATCCAAAGAGTCCATACTTATATATAATATTATGTAGGAAATATTAAATTCAAATCTGTGTCAATGCACCTTTAAAGACAATAACATTTTATATTTTTATTTAGAAAGACCGGCCATTTTATTCAGTCTGGCAGCTGGCCGGTTTAGAGAAGTTTTACTATAAAACAAAGCTATATTTTGTCAATGCAAGGAGTACCGGTAATTATTTTCCAGTCATTTAATTATCAGATAATAATGTTAAGATTTATAGTAAAATGTGATATAAAAAAAAATTTAAAGTCTTGTAAATCATTGCAGTTTAACTCTGTTGTTTCAGTAAACAATAAAGATATTTGAACCAATAAACAACCATCCACCACTGCAAATCAAATCACAGAAAAAAGAGACATTTCTACTGTAAACCACCTTTTATTCGTGTGGAAGAAATATCAGCAAATTTCGCGACCTCTACTAACTCTCAGATGTTAAAGAATGTGAACCAATTATTTTGCTTTGTATCTGTAACGAATGTTTCCTGTCATGAAAATTAATTGCCACTGATTAATTTCAAACAGAAAAAGCGATATAAAAGATAATGCAAGTAATAGTTCGTTTAAAGTATTCTATTGCATCTACAGCATCATAAACTGACTTAATTTCCATAAAAATGAAATGGTTGTCTACTTTGCCTATACCTTCAAGAATTAATACCGATACAATGTATTTAACTTTGTGCTTGACATTTATTAGATACTTATCTTCCTTCCATCAAAGTTGTGGTCTTTTCAGCTCCATTAAATCTTTCCCATTGAACAAAAGATTTGCGAAAAGACAAGCTGGTGGCATCACAGACTATGATACTTGGTGATGGGCCACAGATGTCACACTGGAATCCCAGGTCATAATTGATGTCAAGTAAAGCCAGATATGAGTACCAGGAGTGTCTAAATTTGGCATACGACATTCCATCTGCATTGGTACCCATATCTGCTAGTTCCTCCATCCAAATGTTGTAGTACGCATAGAGAGTGCATCTGAAACAAGAAATATACTAATCTATTAAATATTCAATTTAATAATAATTATCGAAAACAATCTTAAAAGGAATGGACGTTTTGCTTGGTTACAAATGTAAGTTATTACAATGATCTCTATATTTTACCAGTGAGACCTGTTTACACTTATCGTTGTCTCTCAGTATTTTTAATTAGATTTGTCCATGAGATTTTACATTTACCAGGAAGACTTCATTTTCTATGGATTTTTCTTTTGTGATTGCTAAAATATGATTTGATAACTTGGTCTTTGTCATAGTATACAACAGCATTTTGGCAACCTGACACCACTTCTGTGTTTGAAATCTTTCTCTTTTATAAGCAAATAAAAAGTGTGAAACTGAGACAGATATAAAGGAAACTACTAAATTCCAAGCAAATGTATTTCCGATTTCCATATTATCAAAATCACATAACGTGAGAGGTATTTTGGACTAACGATTTGATTGTTTAACACTAGCTACATTTCTAGATTCTATTCAATTAAGATCTTAAAAGAAGCAATATGTTATACATATTTTAATACCTTGCATACAAAAAATGCCACATATAGTCTCGGAGAATACTATGATGCATAAGGAAGGACCTCATGTTTAAGACAGAGACATCGCCACCATCAAAGAACAAGATGTTTGTGCAGGAGGTACACTTCTTACAAAAAACTGAAGTAAAGAATACAAAATTTAGGTTAAATTGCTTATTTCTCATGTATTGGAAGCATTTAATTATTGAGTTTGTCCAGTATGCCAGTACTGCTCATCAGGACAAATTTGTATATGAACATGTTTCTTTCCAAACGCAAAAATTTAATATGAGAATTACTTTAAGTTTGTCTCATTTGATATTTATTTTAAACAAATAAAAGGAGTAATAGATAAACATTCTTACCGGACACTTCATATACTTTATATTTGCAAAAAAATTGCAAAGACTGATTCCCTTGAAGGCTACAATCTGCTTCCAATTGGCTGCCACAATCGCAACAAATATCACTGTCAAATGGAAGAAATTGCAGAACACCATCTTCCTTAATGCAATGTGCCACAGGGTCTAAAAAAGTGGCCCGGAGAGCAACATCAAGCCTGAATTGTATGGGTCTTCTTGAGAGAGTATGGTAAATGAAAGTGTTAGTAGCAGTCTCATCTTCCATACTTCTCATGAGTTTAAGCACAATATCAGGAACTGTGTCTGTAGTGGCTTCCTTTATGTAGGAGTACATTCGGTTAGTATGGCAGCAGTGCACCTTCTGACAAGTAAGGCATTGAAGCTTCCTAGCAGAGACAGTCACGACTCCAGGCATTATCCCACATAAAACAAGGCAGTAGTCGGCTCCAAATGGCAATTCTAAAAGATCTGCATCCTATCGTGAAGAAAAAAAATTATCATAAACATTATGAAGAGGAAAACAATCTAGAAAGAATCATCAGGATATGCAACCAAATCAAACCTTTTTTTTCAGCCAATTATTTGAGATTTTTTTTGGTTGAAGTTTCCAATTTTTAGGTTTCTGAAATTTGCTTATCTCTTTTTAAAATTTTTGTTTGTGCCAATAAGTGGCATAAAATAACAAGAGCTTTATTTACATAAAATAATCCTAAACAAGAGGCCCACGGGCCCTATAGGTCACCTGAGCATTCTGCAATAACTTTCCAGTTATTGAATTTGATTCATGTTTTAAGCCAGATGCTATATGGCATTCACAATTTTGAAAGAGGCACCATTGATCATCATAACAATACACTGAGCAGTTGCTTAGCTTGGTTTATTGATTTAAATATGCCCAATAATAAGTTCATAGGATCTTCATGAACGTTTCATGAACATTTCATGAATAAAAAGGAAATCCATGAATTATTCATGATCACCTCGCAGGGGTACTGAATACCCATACGCAAGGTAGGGGAACAAAAATGCATTCCAACTAATCTGTAATATTCAGCAATAATCAGTAGTGCCCCTAACACTGTGAAATAAACCCCTGACCCTAAGTCCACACATTGCACAAATTTTAAAAAGGCACCATTAAAATTGCCTATCAAAAAATAAATAAATGTTTTAAAAATACAAAGGAGCAGATTTCAAACAATTAATTCATTTTCAGTATATAAGTAGAGCCCCACCCCCACCCGGCTGACCCTGTTCCTATTGAAAAGCCTTTTAACAAATACAGGTTATTATCTGTTGCCTTGAATTAATGTAATTAAAATAACTGAATGACGAGTACTTAACATGTACTACTCATAATTATTGAAATGACCAAGTACTGTGGTACATGTATTTAAATCTTTCGTAGTCTATTCTCAAATTTCCAAATAAAACATGAAGATTATTGAAAAATTATTCAGTTTCTTGAATTCACGGATTTATTATCACCGTGAATATAGCGCATATTAACACTGCAAGTTATTTTCCCCCTATACAGTACCTACATGTACCTACCAACCCATTCTAAAAATTATAGGTTGCAAACAAAGATTTTTTTTAAGCTTGGCCTTGTGTTGATACCCATATCCTCATATCACTAAACATTATAAATCATGAATGTTCTAAATTTTGAATACATGAATACTACAGGTTAATTTCTTTGAAGTTCACGCTTATAAGTACCTGTATCAGTCCCTCTGTCTCTGTTTTGCCATATGAATGCTCTGAAAATCAAATATAAAATAAAACCTAATGGACATTTTGTAGAAGTTTTTGTAAAAAAAACAAGTTTCCAAGGAAGGATTCAATTTGCCCTTATTTTCAACACAGCTGGGTACTTGTAATAGACCACAATGCATTGCAGCTCATTCAGCTGTTAAACAGATAGCTAATTTACATGCAAATTTATGTTGATGTCAGAAAATCTAGTGATCTCAACCTGTTTAAGCAATAGTGTCAATTAGTTTAATGAAAAGGATACTGACCTGAGAAGTACACATCGGGGGAAATATCATCAAAGTCATCGGCAAATTTTTCAACAATTTTAACATGCATACACCTCGTTTCTGAGAAGTCTGAAAATTTAAAAATGAAGTGTTTCATTCAGGTTTAAATTCCTATTAATATATATCTATATATTACAATACACAATGACATGGGCTGGTATAAATAACCTTGGACGGTCTAGAAACCATTGGTTTGAAATTCATTTTCAATTCATCTCAGCTATGCTAGAAGGCACCTTAAAAATTATTACTGATTGACCCAGAAGACAAATAATTTCAATCTCAGTCTAGTTCGAAAATAAAATATTAATCGGAATTTTTTGTCTAATGTTTTAAAGAAATATATGAAGGGACAAATATTTGATTTCTGTATAATTTATGTATGTGTGCGTGGTAACATATTTAACCTTTAGATGAAGTAAGTAGATTTGCAGACAATGCATCCACAAATTCTGCATGAGCTGGATTACAGGAGCAGAAACAAATCCATCGAGTCTCTCCTTCAAATCTGACTGCTTTCCTTCTAACAGTTTGTATCTGATGCTTCTGAAAAATCAATCTTTCTTATGAAATTCTCAAATTTATGGGGAATTCTCAAAAATACTTTCCATACGGTGGCTTATTTCTGTCAAGTTGACATAAAGATCTGACAAATCAACATAAACATATTGTATGACAAGTGGATGCAGAAAAATTTCTTGGACATAAATATATTTTGTGAAGAAGTGAGAACAAAATACAGCAAAACTCATTTAGTACGAACACAAATTTTGCAAATTTACGGATATAGCAAAGTCATCTTGAATCCCCAGCTATATAAATTTAATTACTTTCTTATATGGTTATAATGAATTACAGATATAGTGAAGTAATTTCACAGATCCCAGTGACTTTGTTATAACCGAGTTATACTGTAAAAATATCTTCTGCTGGTTTACAAATGTTTAATTCTTTAAATGCAAGAATATTAAAGTATACCTTAAC